TATTAGATACTAAAATATTAAAATATTGGTAAACTATACAACATCGGTGAAAGTAACTAAATGCGTGGAAACTAACTGGAACAAAAGGTTAAAAATAGTTCTGACCGCAAAAGGGTTAATTAGAGATGGACGGTCAAAGCAATATGCGCGTAGACTATCTCTCAGAAGTTTGAACCACCTCTCGATATTTATGGAAATAAAACTTGTTTGTGCGCGTGTACTTGTTGTATTGAACAATTTTTTTCTATTAAAACGACATTACCCAGATCACGTATAAAATATAAACTGCATAGTCTAAATATCGTTGGTGAAAAAAGGCCAACTGTATCAGAATAATACAGTATTTTATCCTTGTTCGATATTTCTATTAAATATAAAATATTTCATTATTTTAAAAATCGAATTTCTGGGCGACAGTGTATATTATAACTTTTGTCCTGTTTATATCTGGTTTATTATTAATTCTATCGGAAATTTATATAGAATAAAAAAGTTTCTAAATATAAATTGCAACAACTTTTGTCATGTACAATTTACTCGTAAAATCAACTATAAGCGAGATATTGTACATTGTTCCACGTTTGGGGCACCAATATCTCCCTATCTTCCTATATGGTAGTACTTTTAGGCAGCTAAAGAGTATATTTCCTAGAATACAACACGGATTGCAGATACTCGAGCAAAGATTTCTTACAAGAGAAGCCTAATCGTCCAAAACAGACATTCCATGCAAGCACACACGAAAGACATAATTTCAATGTAGATTGCCAGGCAATGCATTAACAGGAAAGCTATGAAATTGTACAGATGCCGTACGCACCAATTATACACACTCACGGGGGTTTAAATTGCTAGGAAACTCGTAACTATTATTTCAGCTCACGAGTTACAGCAATCGTACCGTCTGCAGACTATCGTGCGTTTTAATCCCTCCTCCAACATTATCCCTGGTATTATTCCGATAGGAAGTCTTCCCAGGGAGAGTCTACGTTGAAATGCAAAGAGAGATATTACGTTCTTACGCGGGCGCCATTATGTGCAACCATTCCTGACTTCGTCTGACGCTACATGGGCTACGTACACGTTGAACTTCCTACAACCTGCACGATCCACCTCGAGGCTATTATGGAGTATCAAACGTTAACGATATCATCCATCGTGAAGTTCACGAGTACTGTTTTAATTCGACGATTAAGTATTTTCTGTAAGGTGAAAAGTGAAGAAACAAACTCAGTCCATTCGATCTTTCTGGTTTGGAGTTAAACTGAACTCGACACAAGCGTCACTGACGTAACTTACCAAGAGCATGAAAACTGAACGAATGATTTGTTTAGACGTTCGACCAGGTCAGGATCAAGTAGCAAGACGAGTTAGGCCATCGTAGTAGCCTGATGTCGCTGGATAGAGCTCAATGTGGGATTTGCAGTGCGATTATGTTAGTTGGAGCATTGCTGCAGCAGAAATAGTAGAAGCCTAATGCAGATGTTTAGGGATTTGCAACTCTGTGTCATATTGGCAGTTGTGCTGATCAGGGCATATCCTAATCTCCCCGTCTATGGAATCAGTGCTTGTAAAGCCTCGCAGCTGGATCAAAGACGTCAAATCAATTGGCTTTGACGACTCGTAATGTTTGATTCGCGCTGTTTCAGAGACGCGTGGCTCCATCATCTTCTTTCTCGCGGAACGTTTGATCCTTTCGCCTCCTCGCGGGTTTTGCGTCCTCGAAACGAACTCCTTTCACGACACTTTTTAGAATTGAAATTGAAAAAATGTCGCGGCAGTGAAAACTCCCACGCCATTTCGTTCTGTGGTTGGAGGATGCAATATCGCTAAAAGAGAAATTTTGTCCGATGAAATAAAATGTCCAAAGTGCTTCTTTCTACCTGGAATCGTAGGCTTGGACGAATTTGATATTATTCCGCGGAACACGATTGTTCGTTGTACTGTTTAACACAAAATAGCGATCAATTCTCGACAACCGCACAACTTTGCAACGCGCACCTTCTTCTGACATAGATGTATCGTTCCAAGCGCCATCAATAGGCATCGATGGCTCAATTAATCATATCCCGCGAAATAATACCGAATTCATGGTGGGTAGCTCACGATTCATCAATGTAAACAATGTTACGAAAGAAAAATTTCTCGAAACTCTATAAAACCATCCCCAAGATACGATTTAAACGTTAATAACTTTTTAACGAAACCTCAATTGGTATTCTCAATTTTCGTTTTATTTTAATTGTTTGCCGGAGGTGACCAAACACCCTCTATAATACGATTCGTGGACCCTGGAATAATGGGAAAAGGGGCTCGATCGCGCAGTGAACCGTAAGAAACGAAATGTAAAAAAATATGTCGGACCGCAAAGGGTTAAGAGAAACGATAGAAAATTCCGTTTCAATCGCGCCGGTTACAAAGGTGTCCTGAAAAACTAGCATGTAATCATTCAACGGGAACGTAAGTTAGACTTTATGGAGACAGCACGCTTCCAAAGAGAACGCACGTGATTCGCGCATTATTTAACGCCATTAATCGCGTCGCTGTAGTAAAAGGAGGTCGCATCTGAAGCTGAAAAGCATGGAAAGATATTACTCCCTTGCACGGTTCCACGCAATCCTCCCTCGGGTGGGGATGGCTAATGCACATACATAACTCATACGTTCGCGTGCATCAGTATTCGCTGTTCAGCTTTGCGCACGAGAACAAGAAACAACGTGCGTTCGCAGCCATAGGCTCCGACGGTAGCACGTGGAAGGGATTTGCATGGCATAATATCTTGACTGATATATCCAGGCTTTTGACAGCTCGAATAACGAGGCAGACGCATCCGAGGGACTTATTCCTTCGCTTCTTCCACGTACACCGGGCGCAGAATGGCGTCTACGAGCCACGACAGCCGCACAGAGGCGGCCATTTCTTTTCAGGAGGTCTCGTCTCCCACGGGCTACGTATTTTAAATACTTTCCTACGCTATAGCGCAACGAGAATTACTTTCGCGCCGCTCAGAAACGCTGTACTTAAATACTTCGGTTATCCAGCGCTTTTCAGAATCATTTACACGCTATATTGTCAGCAACTTCTTCGTGGAAAATTTATTTTCCAATATTTTAATTACAACGACTATATATTTTCAATATACTTGAATTTGATACTTTCTCGAGCGACCGTATCGACATGCACGGGTTATAAGGCTAATCTAGGAAGCTTCAAGAGTTAAGGGCTTGAGCGTTATTGGGTTTCACGCGGAAGCTTTCTTTGCTTCCTCTTTCAACAGATTCATGAGGAACATGTATTATTGAACGAACAATCTGAAATTCCATATCGCGTCGAACGAGTATTATCCGAACAGATTTTCGAAGCGATACGTCCGCGGTAAAGTCACGAAACACAAGAGAGACCTGCAAATATTAAACGGTCCCTTTTCATTACAATTAAATTCTGCTCTATACGTGCCACTTTATTGTACAAATTGCACATACTAAATTATGAACCCTCGGATAGTGCTCGATACTCTTTCACCGGTCTCTCAAGACCCTTCACTCTCTCACAAAACTCGCTCGTTAGACTCTTAATGGTCTCTCGCGACCGACTGACTTGTTTACGACTCTTTCGTTCTCTAACAACCAACCCTTGCATTCACAGAGTCACACAAGATGAAGAGCTCGTCCAAAATTGTACGGAAACTCGTTTTTCGACTCGGTCGATCTTTTCCACAATCGCAGTACTTAAAATGTGAAACGAGTACCTAGCAACTTACAAACTTTGTATGTGTGGAGTATTCCAATTTATAGACGTAGCAAAATACGTGTGCAGGAAGAGAAGTAGATATTGGTGCCCCAAACGTGGGACAATGTACAATATCTCGCTTATGATTGACTTTACAAGAAAATTGTATATAACAAAACTTATTGGAATTTATATTTAGAAATTATTATGCAGTATATAAATTTTCGATAGAATTGATAATAAGCGAGATATAAGCAGAACAAAATTTTTTTTTACGTATATAATTACATCAAATATAATTAAAGCTCTGAATGTGCAAGACTCGAAATATAACTAAAATCTAATTCGAATAAAATCTATTTGCAGTTGCACTTCGTCCCCTGATGTGTCAATGTAATATTAGTGCAATGTTTGGCGCAGTGGGAAAGACAATTAAATGTTTCTTTAATACTGAAACATTTCTATCCCTGCAACTCCTTTAAAGCAGCTAGGGTACAGTTCTACGATATGACTTTTCTCATTCTGGTCGACACACGGCAACGGTATCGAGTTTATTGCCTTCCGGTGCAACGTGCACCACGCCAGAAGCTGATGACACCGACGCCTGTTTCCTCTTTTATGATCTTCACCGTTTAGTTTATCTGTACCCCCGACCCATCACCTTTGTCAGTCCCGGGATTTACGGTGTTAATAAAACCTCACTTTCGCGATTTTCGAACATTTCATCTCACAGTCTCGTTTCAAACAAATTCCAATCATTTAAATAAATTCTAATATTAATATAAAAATATTTTTTCGAATGTCTTTAAAATTTTTAAATCTAAAAATAAAGTGACAATGTTCAGACACTGAATTGAATCCACAGTGAAAGTACGATTACCTAAGGTTAAGGTATCTCGACTTTGTTTTTTATTTCCTAACGTGTTAGTACGAGGGTTTCTGTAGCAATTACCAGGATTTATGATAAGGAACATAAATCTTTTCCATCCACTAACCCCACAGGCGAAGTTCAAGAGTATACAAGAGACATCTGTTGTACTCCATTTTCATTAACGATGACTCGAATTTCCCCTTTAAATATATGTACAAAATGTACACTTTATTCTTTTGAATACACAGAGTGCTTTATAGTTTCGTCCATTACTGTAGCAATCGAATTATTCGATCCAGCAAATAGAATTTCATCTGCTTGGACGGATTTTTTAAAACCGATAAAAATGACTCGGCGAAACGATCTCTTTTCCAAATTTTTATTATTCTGACTCACCCACCATTGAGTACGTGGACCAGGACACTGGCTGACTCGCTCGTAGACGGAGCACATGTGTAATTCCCAGAATCATCAGGTAACGCTCTGGAGATCAAAAGACGCGACGTTCGCGTTTGCTTTTCGGTGACTACGTTGATGCCTCCTCTCTGGCTGTAATTTATCACATGGTCACCTTTGTACCTGAAAAGAGATCATTTTACGTTAACGGAAACAGCGCTAGAAAGAATTATTTAACAAGGTGTAGCCAAACATTAAATTTTCGATTTTGATAAAATTTTAATTTTAACGGTACATACAGTAAAATAATTAATTCTGTGAAAACGCTTAAAAACAGGGGCCAAAAAAAAAAATGATTAAAGTAAATGAAGAAATCGCGTGGAATAATAATTATTCGCTACATTGGTGAAAACTGTACGAAAATGCTGAATTTCAGGCAATGCAAACTGTATTTGCGACTGAAGCGTAATTTAGAGAATACCGAAAGGGATTCTTTTTAAAAAAATTGCAGCATTTCTTTCGAAAAATCAAAAGGAAAGGAAAGAATTTAGTTATGCATACAAAGTGGAATCCCTTGTTAATTTTACTCGAAATCCTGTGAAACAGTATTATGAAATATTCATGCTATATGGGGGTTGTGTACGTTTATTAAGTCGGCTTATATCAAAACCGTGTTCTCAAAGTACCGTGTTATACACGGGTTACCTACGCAATTACCATAGTACATCGAGATATTCATATATACATACATGTACGAGTGTGAATTCGACAACAATGACACGGTTGCTACACGAAGTATAAGCATGAAGGAATCGCGCGGTAAACGAGTACACTCGATGCAATGGATTCGTGCCAACTCGGAAGAAAATAACTCAGTTCACTTTACCCCCCTCCTCTTACACGAATCACGGTCACGTGTGTCACGTGGCTGCGCGACGCGGATGCGCGGGATCATTGTGCAGTCGACTCGCGTACGGGTCGTTCCACGCCAAATCGATCACTTTTTTTCCCCTCGATGTCCGTGGGATTTTGTTCAAAATTGAATACGATCCAGACCATACGATATTGGAGGTGGTTTAAGTCATCATTTTACTGATTTTTAATTCGTTTGCAAAATACAGTCCCCCGAAGTTTACGATTTTTGTGAAAATAGATTGAGATGAATGTTTTTCACTTTTATTTGGAAAGAATTGGTCTCTTTAAATGAGTTTGAAATGTCAATTTTGCAACCTCGAAAATTTTTAATTTAATTTTTAAATACAAGTTCGAAAAATATTATTGCATTCAGGAGTCGAGTGATTATTTGCTTTTTGAGGAGGAATCAGCCTCGAATGGTTTGATCGCTGTAGTGTGCAATTAGCATAGAAATCAACGGGAAGGAAGAAAACAATTCCGATTTTCCGTCTGCCTATCAGCGCCGCGTAACGCGTCCATTTTAGCTTGTAATCGAGACCCACGGTAGAACCGTTCCGATGATTCATGGAGAACTTCATTGGCAAAGTTCGTTCGTGTCGCGCGGTAAGCGTGCGAATTCGGCATTTATGCTCGAGCGCAAATTGAATTTGGGAAAGTCCAATTAAACTCACCAATAAATGAAGGACGGCGGCTCAGGTGTCTGCAGTACGATGCAGGTTAGATTGATGTCGCTTCCGCTTTTGATGTACAGCTCCGAATTACCACTGATCTCCGCCTTCGACACTGCAAACATAATGGACCCAGCATTAGATCAATGCGTTTCTGAAACGGCCATGAATATACAGGGTGTATCCATTAACCAGAACGAGTTACAATCCTCCGTCGGTTAAGTTAGAAAAAGGACGATAAAAAAAGTCATTTTGTACAGTTAAACGTGTTCTCAACTTAATTCTCCTGAGATTAGACACAAAAATTATAACATCGTTGTAAAATTCTAAATGCTGACGGAAGTACTTTACCAAGATGAGATTTGCTGCATCTGCTAATGCCTGTATAGCAGATCCAAGCTATAAATTTTATTAATCGTTTATTAGTTTACCTTTATTATTTTATTGCACGAACGTGTTATAAACTTTTAGGGTAGTTAAATTTCATAGACTGACTGGCGCGGTTGGTCTGTGAGAGGTACGCGGTGGACTATCCCTCTTAATTCTACTTTAAGGCTGCTTCAGATTCTGCACTTGACAATTGTCGCTTAAACAATGAACTTCCGGGCGGAACACGCGAGGAAATAAAATACACATACGCCGGAAAGGTCGTCATGATCTTAGTTTATGGCGAATGTCTGGGCCACTCGGTTCAGCGGTATTCAGAAATTCTCGTTCCCTCGACGGGAATATTTAAACTAACGATTCAAAAAATTACAGCGTCAAAATAAAAATCTGTGCCCAGAATCAGTTACATTTTAAATGCAATAATATTATTATTAAGTATTAATAATCGATGACATAACATTACAATTATTACAATGCTACTTTCACTGAGAATTGATGATATAGTGCAATAATTACTATAATAATAATTTGAGTATTAATGACCGGTGATATTACAGTGAAACGATTATTATTTTAGGAAATATTGAACACGGAGTTGCTAATGTTGAGTATCGATAATTTCTGAATTAAATTTGTGAACTAATCAGGTTCGACAGAAATATTAATTGGATGTTTTGCAATTTACTGACCTACGACGCTTAGGTTAAAAGCCTGGCTGATTTTCGGTTCGGTTGATACTTGACATTCGTATATTCCGCTATCTCGAACCTGCGGCGAAGTAATCTTCAGGGTCCATTCGTCACTTCCGTCGTTGTGCAACGACTGGAAACGCTGGTCGCTTGTGTACGTTAAGATTCCTATGGTGAGAATGTGCAAATCCCGTTGCCTGATCCACGAAACCTAAAAACAAACCGAAACAGTTTCCACGTGAACGAGTTTACGAACAGGAAATTGAAATTGCATTTTAAAAAACCCCGCGACTGTTTAATCAACATTTGTTCTACGAGGAATAAGAATATCCCCACAGTGTTGTACAATTTACCAAATGTTAAATAAGTTACAAAAAAACATGTACTGGAGTACTTTAATAAACGAAAATTTTTGATGAGTCGATAATTTGCATTGTCAATTATTCGAAATAGATCATTTTTTAGATGAAAGTCTAAAAAGTAGTTTTGATACTCCCCTTTCGGGAAGAAGCAGAGGTCGAAGCCATTCGAATGTCCGATATTCTGTCCAACTATTTTTCTTTCAATTTAAAAAGGAGGAAGTAGTCACGGCCAGTCAAATAAGACGAATACGAGGGTGGCTGAGGGCCACGACACCTTTCGAGGCTAAAAAGTTCTGCAAACCGATGGCTTTGTGGGAAGGAGAATTGTCGTAAAAGAGACCAACTGCCCGGGTGCTCGATAAGCCCGAATACGAGAAATTCTGGATCGCAAACGCTTCATAACACGCGAATAGTTTCTACCATTTTATGTAAAATTTTATACAAAATTCGCCGTCGCTCCATTGTAATTCCTCGACGATGGTCGAAAAGTCTCTCAAACGAAATTATCGTCATCGTGTTGCTACAGTCAATGGTATTATATTTAAATCAGAATATCGGAATATTTTTATAATTCGAACAATTTTTTTAACTTTATTCGAGAGAAATATTTTTGAAAATATTTGGCCCTTTTGTTATTACACGAGCATAAAGTTTTACTGGAAAGAGCTGAGCATAAGTTTTAAAAATATGTGGCCTAAAAATCTGGTCACCCAACGCTTTTTAATGCCAACTATAGTAATGGCTCTGTTAGGAATTTGCAACATAAAGCAGAGGTTCTTAAACCGTGGATCGTACGATATTTCAAAGTTTTTAGGAAAGTACGATTTGAAGTTCGATTTCGACAACTGCACCCTCGGTATTTTGTTCACCCATTGAGTGTAAGAATGTTCTGAAACGCTGGTTGGAATAAATTTGAAAACCTCTAACTCGAGAAGACAAAAAGACTATGTCTGACCTCATTTTTCTACGCGAAGTTCTTAAGGCTCGTATAGAAAGTTCACGATTTCCTGAATAAATAAACACAAGTGTTCCCGGGGGAAAAAGAATCAGAAATTTTCCCGCAGCTACACGTTCGGCGCTCTCTCTTAACAGGCTCGACTATAATAATTTATTAAACTCATCGTGGGAGTTTCAGTTGTTCGAAAAATCATTTAAATTAAAATTAACCTAATATTACATTTTAACGATCATTTTCCAAACGTTCTGTTTAAATAACGTTTCAAAGAGAAGAACTTCCGGTAAAATAAACCGCAACGACTGTTAGCAACACGATATTTATTAGTTTTGCATCGACCCGGAATGTTGATAAAAGGAAAGGGACAACAACAAACTAATTACGATGGATAAAAGCCAAGACTTGTAAATATCGCGGAGCAATAATTTACGTTCAAGGAGGACATCCGTACGAGAATAAATCCTTATAACCTTTTACTGTTACGGTCGAATAATTCTGCAAAATCGAATTCAATATTTATTGGATAAAGCGGAACGGAACAGAGATGAAATTTATGTTTCTACGCTTTGGTAAATCCTGCGCAGAATTATCGAGAAAATCTTCCCTCTGCTCTGCGCGCTTTGTCCGCCGAATTTCGTATTACATTCAATCGCGGGAAGCCGTATTTCGACGGTAAAAAACTTTCGACGAAGCTCTCGACGTGAAAACATTTAACGGATCCGCAATAATCTTCGTTCCATGGCCGCCGCCTTCCATCGAACTCAATTATCCAAGGGGCCCGCATGTCGAGCCTGTAATTTTTCGCCGCAAAAAACTTCGCGGTTCAATTTAACTTTCAGTCAGATATAATTAGAGCAGGAGCACGCGGGAACCTTGGAAAATGAATGGCTTATTGGCGAAACGTTTATTCTCCGAGCCGAGCACTGTTGAGAACAGAGAATTGATGCCCTCGAATGTCCCCGCAAGAAAATTAATTCTGGCAAGAGGTGTTTGGTTACTAACAAGGAACATCTACAAAGAGCCCTCCCCCCCCCCTCCCCTTCTCTATTTTCATAATAATTTATAGGTCAGTGGAGCAGCCAAAAGTACAGAAAACGTATTTTTGTAACATCATCAAAGTATCATTTCCTAACGCTGATGTGAAAACTTCTGATACCAGGGATTTAATTTTTAAAAAACTGTTCTCACTTTTTTATAAATAATAATATTAGGGAAACTGATTAAGAAATATGTTAAAGAATTACCTTTACAATGTTTTCAAAATTTCTATTTTGAATTCACAATTATATAGAGTTTTAATTGTAAATAATTTTATTCGCCTGTTATTTCAAATTCTAGAGATTAGATATGTATATATGCATATTTATAATATTTGATTTTATTTCATTTGATACATAGTATTTCCTTTTCTATTTTAATTTTCATTTTCTTCTAAGTGCTCTATCTATTCGATAAAATTTATAGAATCTATTTATTTCCCTCTCTTGATTTTTTTACGTTGAACTTGTATTACTGTATTTCCAACTCTCTTTACCTTAAAGCCATTTTTACAGACTCCCTTTCTTGCATGAAATTCTCCAAACCCTGTTAGCAGAAACCATTTCTCTGTAACTAATCTTCTCTATCATTACTACTTCTTGCCCTATTTAAAATCTTCTCTTTTTCCTTCAAACATTGTTTCTCTAAGATCCCACCATCCCCTTCTTTAATGCTTTCTTCGTACTCCAGTGCCCCTTCTTCTACCCTCACTTTGATTTCTTCCCTTTTACTTTACTCTAATACTATCCAATAGTGTATTTTTAGTTCTAAATTTTGAGTACTAAAAATTACAAGGACGTTACGAGGAAATCACAAACACACAGATTTTGAATGTAAACAGATATCATTAAGAAAATTTGCGTGTTTTATCTTTGAGAACACTGACCATAGTCGAAGATTATTAGTTTCATGTCATTTGGTATAACAATATTTGTAACTAATATTTTCTCAAATTAAGTGACATGTACTTTCCCTAAAAATGCGAGTAATTTAAATTTTATTTGGATTTGGAATTTTATATTAATAAATTCACAGTTTGTACATTTAGATTTAAATTATTAGAAAATAACGACTCCATATTTACAGCTCCATTTCTAATTTGTTTACGCGATCTCTATTAAATTTCTGTACCATCAGATGGAAACACCTAATCGGTATATGATTCACGATCGATTATACTAGCGTACACAACCAATTAATAGATCATTTCTTGTGCCATAAATTAATGTATTGCACGCTTCACTGATACCCAATGTTCTGGATTATTATAGTCATTGAATCGCCCGAGTACGCTAATGTTCCGTACAATATTCCACATAGGTCAGACTTACAACCAATTCTATATAAGATTTATCGAATTATGGTCCTCGCGTTATTTTCACGTCAGATATGAATTTATCTAGATTTTTTAAATTCGCCGAAAAATTTCAGCATCTTCTCGAATTTTTTTCTTGAAAGTGCGTAGGATTTTGGGGATATGTTCATTTACAAAAAATGATTGTAATTGGCCCCCGCAACCGAAAATAATTTTTTCAGAATGATTTGAAATTTTTTTATTTCGTCGAAAAATTTCAGTGAAACCTGTCAACGTATGGTCAGGCAGTTTCGGTAAGAATTTTTTTCTCGAAAATGCGTAGGATTTTAGGGACACGTCTATTCACCAAAAATGATTGTAATTGATCCCTGCAACCGGAAATAATTTTTTCGGAATGATTTGAAATTTTTTAATTTCGCCGATTTTCACCATCTACCCCCTGTTGATTTTTCAAATCTCCTTCGAATTTTCAGGTCGATATGGCAGTCAGATTAGGCCACGAATGTCTATATGGTGTAAGGTCTACCGGTATACCTCGTGTGTGCTAATATCCACCTGTGCAAACATGTCTGATTTCTAGCATGAATTTTTCAACGAGGACAGAGAATACGCCGAAAGCTGGCAAGGTAAAACAATAAAGAACGAAACTCGGCTAGCCCTGCTTTCAGACGTTGACAGTCGAAAGCAACAAAGTACGTGCACGGATCGAATTTCATCCTCTGACGGAAACCTCCGAACGCAACGGGATAAAATGTCGCCCGAGTCGAATAAGAATAAGAAATAGAAAAAGAAATGCGGAATATCCTAAGATGGGTGGGATGACTGGCGCCGGAGGCGAATCTGTATGCAAAAATAAGTTGAAAATGTAGAACAGAATTTGTTCGTGTGTTGCTTCGTTTTCGAGAAAATCGGTTCCCAAAATTCATGGGGCACACGTACGATGGAGTTGCAATTTCGATATTGGCACAAGTAGATATCAGATTTCAAAATTCATTGTTTCTAGCCACCAAGGAAATGCAGTTTAAAATAAGTTAGTTAAATAACATAATAAATGAATTTAGTAAATAATTTTATAAATTTTTGGTGTTTACAAATGCAAATATAATTACTTTTGAAATCTTGCAATATAACTGATTATTTTTCCAATTAATATATTACATATTTAAGTGAAACTTTTTTTTTTATTGGCGAATAAGTAGTAACTCTTTACAAAACATCCATGAAACCACAGAGTCATGGTTAAATTGATTTAAATTTAATGCAAGTTTTTTAGATGTTTGTGAGCTAAAAGAGCTATTCTGAAATAAAGAAACGAAGCAACTAAATTTATTTATCCTGTCTGAGAAACTAGTCAGCTCGGTTCTAAATTCCATCACACACCCACGCAGTTGGCAGAATAACTTAACCAGGTTTTGCGCACACTCTAATGGATCTTTTCTGTATAAATAAGTAAATGAAAAATAAGATTGGTGGATACGTCTGGTTCTCTATGGTCTTTTCGATGCCGGTCGAAACAACGAATGGCACGGAGCTGTCGCGTGCAACGACAATGCACCGTGTGTTGCCACATTGATTTTACACCGCGAAATATAAACGTCTGGGCCGGCGCAGATATAGAGCACGCGGCACGGTGACTGAAGTGGGGACGAGGTGGACAGAAATCTGATTTATCGTCGATTACGAGCGGTGATTGGATTCTGACGGGTTCCTGTATGTCACGCGGTGATGCATGAGTAACGCCGATAACGAGTAATGTCACTATTTGACGGCGACCCGTGCACTTATCCGGGCGAGTACTTTTCATTAAGATGTTCGCGGATAGCGACGAAAACGCGATTCACGATCTCATATTCTCTTACAATTTCGGAATCAAAACCCTTTTTCCTTTTACGAGTAAAATAAATTTCATTCGCGAATAATGAATAAAAAAAATTTTTATTCCTTCGTAAACTAATTCAAGTTACGTTTCATTCGTGAATTAATTTTTCAATCTAATCGATGGATTTCTTCAGTCATCGCGAAGGTGTAGTGTTGGGTTAAGGTAATTTACATTTTACGATTAAAATTTTTAAAAATTTGCCCCCTTGTAACACATATTTTGAAACAAGCGGAACATAAGAATTTGTTCGCCTTAATTTTGTTAGCATTTGCGCTTGATCAAAGCAGAATTCTTATTCTTCGAAGCAGCAGAATTTTAAATCGAGAAAAATAATATATTTTATTTAACCGAAAATTCAGGATCACGAAGCATGGATTCGAATGAAATACACTGACGTGCATAGTTTGGAAACAGTTGCGAGCAACTATCGAGGGAAGTGCTATTCGGGGAGAAAGAATCCCTTTTTGAGTTTCACTTTGTTCGAACGCGTCAGAAATTAAGCGGCGCTTTATCGGTTCTCGGTTTCCAGGTCGACGTTCCTGGCGAGACCTGCTGTCGGAAGGGTTAAAATCAGGCCCAGGAGTCGCGACAGAAAATTGCTAGAAAATCCCCGATCGATGAAACGAAGGTAAAAGTCGGAGTGAAAAGCGTGGACTAAGGTGGACCCGCACGGGACCTTTTCATCAGCCGGCTACTCATCCGTAAAACACGACGTCCCCCGAGCTCTCGCGTTCTTATTACACGGGGGGGTCAGGGCAATAAGGAAACTCGAAACTTACGGCACGATCGCCAAGATTGCGCACCCTGCAGTTCAGGTAAACGGTTTGGCCGACGGTCGTCGTCGTGGTCTCCCTCTTCGTCGTGTTGTCGAAGTAAGGTTGACTAAAGAGGTGCTCCCAGTCAGAAGACGGATGGTGTTCCACCACCGATCCACCGCTCTTCACCGCGCACTCTGTCAAAATCAATAAACAACGTTAAGAAGATTTTATTTCCTGGAAGTAGACCGCCGTCTCATCTATTTAGATTGTATAATTTTGCCGCACGAATGGATAGAATAATGGAAATGGAAGGAACATCGTAGGCCAGTCTGAAAGGACTGCGGAACCAGTAGCTGAGAGGGTTTCAAAAATAATTGTTTCAAACTGTCAACAATTTTTATAAATAGCATTTTTTAGAGGAATTTTTATAAATCAAACTGTCAGCAAGTATTGATTCATAAAAATTCCATTTAACTGATTTTCTTTGAAGAATTTATCCCAGCAGATTAAATGACAGATTGTTGCCGTCAATCTGCAACCCATTACACGTTCCGTTCGTGTTTTCGTTATCAGTCTGGCAAATTTAATCTGACATAACAATCTCCATGCATTTTGAAAATCTGCTATGACCAGGGCTCAGCCAACAGGGTTACCTTAATTTATAGTACGTGTATATTTACACGTATAAATCGTCCATCGTGCATTTGCTCGGATAAATGTTGCTGAATACACGAAAATCCGTTTAGTAAAAATTTCGCGAATTGAAACACGTATCAGTTAATGTACATGCGCCCTGGGGGCCATTGAATCTGTCGCGAGCATATTGTATAGTCATCCTATAAGTTTCTGCCGAATTTTGTACTAGAATTTAAAGCAACGTTTCAAACATATTGAATTTTATGAAAAATCGTGATCCCCGTCTCGTACGATAATTCTCACCCATTTTTCCGACAAAGCCATTATTCGATATAAAATTTCTTTGAAATTTCATTCAAATATTATTCAATACTATTTTTAACCAACCACTGAAAAATATGTACAAAATAACTCAGATGTTGCCTCCATTCGAATATATTTATTATATATTAAAAATGTTCTTACTATAAAAAAAGAAACGATAAATTTACTTATAAACTTTGAACTTAAGTTTCTCTCAGCAGACTGTTTTTAAAAAATACGAACGAGTTTATTTCCCAGAATTTTAATCGTGTTTTCTTCGACGCTGTTTCACGCTTCCATAATGGCGTCTTCCAGTTCTACGTTTTCACCGACAGAAAAATTCGTCTAACTAATATTTCCCATAAATTCTGTCGGAGTTGGCAGAACTCGAAGCCCAAGCAAAAGCAGGTGAAGCGGTAGAAAGATCGAGATCATTCCTCGTGGCGCGTCCAACGATCGAACGACCGCTCGACCCTGGCTGGCAGCGAACTTTCTAGAAAAGATCATTGCTATAAATAGCCTACCGCACGCGTGACGCCATTCAGTCGTCAGCGACTAAACGTGGCGAAGGTATGCACTGTGTTTCCGCGCGTGTGTCCACTTTTATTCGCAATTTAGTACGATTCAAGTTCGATATTACGTGAGATTTAAGTTTAATGTTACGTAGTAAATAAGTTTACGTGCAAGTCCCAAGCATAACAAAAAAAAAAAGTGATGGTGCAAGGAATCAGAGGTGATTTTTTATCAAGGACCTAACCTCGAAGGACATAGTTTTTCACGAAAGCAAAGTTGACTTTGTGTACCGGTACGAACTATTGCGTTAATCTGGCTCGAAATTTGTTTAAATAATTATCTAACACTATGTCATCGACGCTTTTAATTTTATTTGAAATTTGAGGTTACGAAGAATTCTCTCCGCGCCAAAAGTACGCTTCCAAGAGAAATTTTATTAAAATCAAGTGAAGATAATTTTTATAAGCCTAAATCGTGACAATAAGAGCCGAATTGAATGTTCCATGAATTAAAACAGTCATCGTAGAAATGGTGTTATAAATAGTTGAATGTTTTATAAGAAAATTAACCTTGTCCCCGATGTAGTTTTGGCGCTGATTTCAGCCGCACAAGAACTTCGAGTGATACTTCGATAGGCAGTACTTTTAGAAATGTTTAAATTGCACATGTTTTTTTATATCGTTTAGACTTCGCGTAGTTCGAAGCTGTTCGAAGCAATTTACGCTCGTGACGTCGGAAAAGTTTCGTCGAACGTTTCAGCACGCTTCTTTTCACCATAATTTCGATGTTCGATAATAAAGTCCGCGGCAGCGCCCTCAAACGTCCAAGTTATTTTGCGATGTACGTGTATGCTTTTCCCTCGACGCGAACAGCTTCGATCGCGGCGTTTTTCTTCGCGGGAAATACAGTTTTCCGCGAGACATTTATTTATCGCTAGATCGTAAACAGCGCTGCCAACTTCTAATGACTCCAATTACGGAAGAGAAGAGAGGAGACAGGGAGAATCAGCACAGTGCTACGAACGTAAAAATGTTGCAGGTTGGTATATTTATAAAATGCCAAAAAATTAATATTTCTTACTATTGATATTAATGAATGCGTTAGAATGTGAGTTTTTATTTAAATGGACTTTCTTGGAATTTGGTATGAATGGAAATAGAACTATTCCTGTGATTCTTTATAGCCAGAATGTTGAAATTTTAGAAGTTAGTATGTTTCATTTATGTATTATGGAATATGTGAATACTTGTTAATCAATCCTTTCAATAATTATATTGGTAATAGATATAGAGAGTGCTTTTATTTCCTCAGATATCTTAGTATTTATCCACAGGTATGATTGAAGAATAATAACACTTATGAGAGACTTTGGTTTAGAATCTGTGTGTATTTAACAGAAAAGTTGAACATTTCGATGAGAGTAAAATATTATATATAATTGTAATCAAATGTAAGAATATATATCTATTGCATATGGATAGGATAGATAATTATTTAACTGTGTTATCCAAGGTATCGAAGAATAGATTTCAGGATTTACAAAGTATCAAAAATTGTTTTTAGAATATCCCTGACCTTAGAAATAACAATTGTAATGCTTGACGAATTTATCGAATTTAAAATTTGTGTTTCAAGAAATAGGAAAGAAGAAGGAGCCTGTCGAATTTTGAAAATTATACAGAAATCTACTTGAGAGTGTTGCATAGCAATTATAAACCTGATTTATGTAAAATAGCCAAAAGTTTGTCTCATCATAAAAAGTCACAGTATTAAATAAACACTTGAATACATTTAGAGTTTGAGTTTCATTTTTTACATTGTTTTTAATTTATTCCATGTTCGAAAATACAATTTACCAAACTCGAAACAAAGAGTACCGGACGAAGGTCAGTAGATTACGTTTAACACTAAACCTACCTTGAGCTTGACCGGTTGAACGATTCATATTTTTTTGTAAAAAACTGGACAAAATTTGGCACCAAATTCTGGTTAGCTTCCGATGTAAATAGGAAATATATGTATAGCAAAGACAAAAGGAGAGAACCTACAGTTTCCACTGGCTCAGAACAGTCTAACAACGCGTATTGAAAATAGTTAAATTTTAGACGCGTGCAGTTTCGAAGCTACTCATGTTTTCTGCATAACTGAGCCATTGTTAGAAGCGGCAAAGCCTCCCCTTTAAAATGGTTTTTTTGTTTTTGTCGATCCGACTTTCCGTTTCGGAGATATCGTAATTTATGTAAGTGGTAATTTTTTTAATTCGACTATCTCTGTTTTCGTCTAACAGAGTCGAACCTCTTTGTCGCGCGTGCGTGGTGCAGAGGTCAATGAACTCGCGAGTGCAACAACGAAACGTAAACAAACCCTATCTCCGAAACTAGCCACCGCATCGACGCGAAACTAAAATCGCTATATCTCCGAAATTAATAAAGCTATCGGCTTGTTCGAACGCTCATTTTAAAGGACATTTCATCCTCTGTCCAATGACTATACCAGCTACTATAATTTTTGCTGTCTTTTATGTTTATTTTCACATTTACTTTGACGCTACATACCCAATGAAGTCTCAGCAATTCCTATTGATCATACGACTGTTATACGATAAAATTGGACTATAAATTGTTTATTTAATTGAAAATAAATTTAAATACAGGATGTTTGCGTAATTACTAGCCAGCACTTTTCTTAAATAGTACGTTGCCTCGTAATAGAGAAAAAGAAAGTGATTTGACCGGTCATGGTAGGAATGGGTATACATGAAGTGCCGGTAGGTTTAGTGTTAACACGTTTGAGGGTTTGAGGTTTGAAGTTGTACATCCGGTCTCAGACAAAATATTCATCCAGACTTAACAAACATCGTGGGATTTGTGACAGGTCACTGAGCCAGTGGCTACAACCGTACACACTGGCGTTTCGGCGACGAGACAATACCCTATACAAACGCGATTGTTTACACAAAAACAACCAATGTTACCAACGATTTGTCCGGGTCGATAGGGCTTGGTCAATAGTCGTGGTATGTGTATGCAGGCTCGCAGGCGGAAGTTTCAAATTCCACCAGACGAGGGAAATGTATTATCGCTGTTTGCCAGGAGTAGAATTTCCCAGAGTTGGCATTATTTTTTCAAATTTATAATAAATTTGAAAATTCAGAGGTGCTTTGTTTTTACGAGCCGAAAAGATACAATATTTTTGATATTACACGTTAAAGTTTTTATATTATATTTTCATATTTTTCTATAAAAATATTGAATTTGCCTCGACTATTGATAATTTTATGAATTCATAAAAAGTAGTGAATTTATATAAATTTCTATTGAATATTGATTAAATTAATGTACGTGATTCCTGTAATAGTGTGCACGATAACACGTATTGCACGCATTTATTAATGTAGATTTTAATATTCAATACAGTGAAATTTCATGAATAGAAATTTTAACGAGTTTTATTCCCCGGCATCTAATTAGAAGACAACCATCGGTCTAAGAGTATCCTTCAGACGTATGTATTCCAGCGTATTTTTCATTTATCTTTGTTCACTGCGAGCTCCACTTCAATTAGAATTTTCCTTTGAAGCTTTATCTTTTGCATTTATTCCCGCGTATTTTTCCATTGGTGAAAAACGTTTTCATTTGTTTCGGAATGTAATGAATGTTCTGTTTCTCTTGGTCTACGTTATCCTTGTCTGTTCTTTATTCTTTCGTTGATTACGTATTACCGTCGTATTATCTTACAGCCC